CATGCTTGGCTCTTACATAAGGAGTATCACCAGAAGGGATCTTGTGAGCTACATGAAACTCTTCCCTCTCTCTCTTGCTCGAAGTCTTCTGATCTGAACTCCCCACTTCCATCTCTCTCTCTCTCTCTCTCTCTCTCTCTCTCTCTCTGATATATAACTAAGAGAGAGAGAGAGATGGGCAGGAGAGAGAATCCCATGTACAGAAGCAAAATGCCAAGGTGGGGTGTCCGAAATGATGATGAACCTGGACGGAATCAGCAGCCGCCTTCAGATTTTGGTTGTGTCTCCACACTTAACAGTCAATTTAACTGCTATTCGTAGATGTATTTTTGAACAGTTTTTTTCAGTATTTATTTTTTAAATAACGCATTTCCCATTATTGGTTTTGCTCATGTCAACGTCCTAGCAAACGGGGGGGGGTAACCATTATTACTCCCAACAAATTATATATATATTCGCGAAAGTATTATTGTGGTTGGGGATGCGGCTGCACTTGCTGATATGGCCAAATCTGGGGCGGTAATCCACGTGAAAGGCAACAGTAACCTTTCTGAAACTTTGCCGTCTTTGATCGAGAGATGAACCGCGATTAAGCAAAGCAACACCGTACGCGAAAACCAGAGTGCCTGGAAACGTCCAGGAGGGAGGAATGTGTAAAGGTTGTATTGTCGGCCATTTACAATGGCACGGGTGAACTTGGACTGTAAAGCAGTCACGTTCAGATCGCTCCTCCTCTTTCGGGAAAATCGTTCTCAGTTTTGGCTCGTAGCACCCCACCCGAAAAAAGAAGGGATTTTTACTCTGTTGCTTCAGCACTCAAGATGCAAATTACCCTTACAAACGACAGCGGGTTTTTTTTTACTTTTCTCTTTTCGCTTCGGTTATTTTTAGAAAAATATTTAATACGTCATTTATTGTTCGCGAAATAAATATATCATAATTTTCAACTCGTGTTTGGGTAGCCCAATGAATAACGGCTCCACGTTGCACTTGATCTCAGAAAGAGGGCACGCAAGTCTATATCTATTAAAGGGCTTTAGCATATTCACCGGTCAAACTCATCAATAACCGTATACGAATTTAATACCGTGTTAAGTAATGTACTATATAGTTCAAAAAAAGTAATTGACTATAATTACATTGTTGCCTCGCTATCATTAGCACGAGATAAAGAGTTTGAATCTTGACACCCCTCTCTCAAATTCATTACTTGTGGCCTGTGCTCATAACTGGGAAAAGTGTTAGACTAGTCATAAACTTATTGCATTTGTGTCAATTTAGTCATAAATCTTTTTTTTTTGCGCCAATTTAGTCCTAAATCTTTTGTTTTTGTGTCAATTTAGTCCTTTCGACTAATTTTGGATAGATATTACCGATGTGGATACTGGCCGGCCTACATAGCACTACCAACGTTGACGTTGACAATTTTTAATAATATTTTACTATTTTTTGATTTTTTTCTTTCTTTCCTTTTTTCCTTTCTTTGCCTTTTGCCGGCCACCGACCCTGGTCGGGCAGGCTGGCCTTGCTTGGGTGAGGTCGTTGTCGTTCGCCACAGGCGAGGCCCAGCCAACCATCGCCTTGGTAAGGGAGAGCCCCAATGAGCGCTCCCTTTGCTAGCGTCGCCTTGGCACAGGCGATGCCCATGAGGCCACCGTGGCCTGGGCGAGGGCCGACCTCACTAGGCACCGCCTGTGCCAAGGCGATGCCCGGCGAGGCAGCTGTGGCTTGGGCAAGTGTCGGCCTCGCCAAATCTTGTGAGGGGAGCTCTAGCCCTCGCCTAGGCGAGGGTCGTTGGGCGAGGTCGACCTACCCAGCCATGGCCGGTGGCCAGTCATCGGCAAAAGGTAGAAGAAAGAAAAAAAAAGAAGAAAAAAATCCAAAAAATAATTAAAAAATGGAAAAGTATGAAAACATTATTAAAAATTATCCATATCAGCGCCGGTGATCCCACATAGGCTAGCCGGCATCCATGTCGGCAATATCCGGCCAAAATTAGCTGGAATGACTTTTCTGACACTTTTCTCGCTCACACCAAAAAAGGAGTCGTGCCCATTTCACAGTAACTAAGCCTGACTGCATGCACGCGCAGGGGATCATCTTACACACGAGGGGTATAACCAGTGCGTTTATAGTATATTACTCAACACTCCCACCTCACATGTAAGCTGGTTTTTGCACACGCAAGAGAAGATATGGACAGAACAGGATAACCAGCGGGGGCGAAACATAGACAGAATAACATGAATAAAAAGGCAAAGGAAATTGAGAGGGTTGCCAAGATTTGAACCATTGACTTGTTAGCTGACACTATGTTAGACGAGATATTTTTCCCAAAAAACTTAAACCGTTAGCTTAAAAATTTAAATTTTAGCACTTCATATAAAGTTATATGTGGAACCATTTACTCCAATAGTATTAAATTTTTAGAGAATATATCTTATATCTTAACATTTCCCCTTACGCAAGGGCCTATTTAATAATAGAGGCCTCAAGCATGCAAATACATTTGGGCAAAAAACTTTTTGAAGCCCAATTGAGCAAGGGAAACCCATGAGTGAATCAAAAAAGGAAAAAATTATCCAAAAAGCCATAAATTTATTGTACTTTTATCAATTCGATCTTAAACTTTTTAATTATGTCAATTGAGTCCTAAATATTTTCACATTTTGCTAATTGAGTCCATCCGACTAATTTTGGCCGAAACCGCTGACGTGGACGTTGCTGTCTTACGTGGCACGGCTGGTGATGATGTTAAAAAATTTTAATAATATTTTTTTCCAATTTATTATTAATTTTTCTTTTTTTTTTTTATCTTTTCTTCTCTTTTCTTTCTTTACTCTTTTTCTTTTTTTCCTTTTTTCTTCTTTTCCTCTTTTTTATTTTTCCCTCCGTCAGCCGTTGCCTAAAAATAAAAAAAAGTAAAGAAGAAAAAGAGAAGAAAAGAAAAAAAAGGAAAAATAAAAAAATATCAATAATATTAAAATATTATTAAAATTGTCAACGTTAGCCAGCCGTGCCACGTAGGACGACTAATGTCTACATCAATAATTTTCAGCCAAAATAGCCCGGATGGATTCAATTAGCAAAACATAAAAATATTTAGGACTCAATTGAAATAATTAAAATATTTAGGACCGAATTGGCAAAAGTTTAATAGGTTTAGAACTTTTTGGACAATTTTCCCGTGAAAAAAGGGTGTGACGAGAAATTGAACGTCAAAACCTCTATCTCTAACACCAACAACAAAGTTACATGCTCAACCGTTTATTCCAAAAGCTCAAACCGTTAAAGTGCAGTGCATAATATATTTTATATATGAACAATACCCAATTGATTACAAACTCAAGTTACCGAGCTCGATTAGCTTTTACATCACATGAAAGCTAATAAGTGTCTAATTATAGACACTTATTATACGTGAATTCTGAGCTAAAGATTGTTTGCGTTCGGCCACCGAATAATTGAACTTAGGAACTAGACTTCAAACGCGAATATCGATCTTGAACAAATAGTTTCAGCAAGGCCCCAATTTTCACAATCCCGTCTGGCCAGGAAAAGAAACAAAATTGCATTTTTGGCCTGGAACTTTAGAATGATTTTCATTTCAGTCCTATTTAATTTTCGACCTTCTTCCACGCAAACTACCGACGATGTATCTATGGAAGGACATTTATCTGTGTCCTTTATCTCTTTTAGATTACTCCTCCCCAAACGATAAGCTAGAGAGCAATTTTGTCTAGTCGTATTCATCTCACTAAAATGAATAATTCCTACCCGTAAAAGGATTTACAACAAGACTTCACCCATTTTCACGGTCGATCGATAGAGAAATTTTTAGACGCGACATTTTCGCGTGTTGAAATGTCATTATAATGATCGACATATTGCACCTAAAAAAATGCAATCTGTTTTGAATTAGTGACCCTTATAGGCTCACTGTTTCACTTTTGAACCTGGTTGTCCAAAATTGTGATCTGATCCTCACCTTTCTTGATACAAAAAAATAAAAATAAAAAAAAGAACTTACCTTTTTGCCAAGAAGCCGTAAAGGCAAGAATTCTCTTAAGATTCCCAAAGGGTTCATTAAGCAATTTGACACTTTGTCTTAATCTAGAAAATTTTGTACTCAAATCACGACGTCACCCCCTCACATTAACCTTGAGGAACATGCCCATTACCCCGAAGGTAGATCCTCATGCGATGCACATGGACCAGGACGAGTTGAGTATATCCCTAAAAACTAGTCGAGCCGCAAAATTCAAATATCCCTTGTTATAATAAAAGGAACCAATTCACATGAGCCGATTTTATGAAGCGGCAAAGAACATTCCTAGTCATTTAGATGAGAACGCGCAAGCTTTCATGCAACAAAGGAGTAGGAATTGGAAGTATCTGTTAGGGGAAACGTGAACCTGCACAAACTCGCGTAATAAAGGGGACATTAGGGGCTCTCGAGTGGAGTCCATTAGTTGGGGGCATATCTTGTCATTTTATAATGCTTGATTATAACAAAGAAATCACACCTATCCCATACAGCCAATCTTCTTGAAGATGAAACTGGGAAGAGATCCAGTTGCATCATGTCTTAAAAGAATCGCCATCATGAAGGAAAAATCTCTCCTTATGTTTAGAGAGAATTAAAAGAAATCCAGAATCCTCGACACAGAATAATTCAGCCAACCAAAGAATTTCTCCTATAAATTATATGCCAGTGATATCATCATGAAGCCGTTTCCGATTTACATACGTCTTGTCAGACAAGGTTAAAATGAAGCATAACACAGGCATAACACTCTACAGCACACAAAGTTGAACCATGCGTGTATGCATGCCCCTCACCTAAGAGTCGAACCTTGTCATAACATAACCCTGAAGCCATATCTTTCCCAGTGAATCAAGCAAAATGGCATCGTCATATTTCCTTCTTTTAGGCCGATAAAACATTTTCTTAATTAGGTTGTGAGAATACTAGGAACCCATCATCGGGGCGACCAATATGTAATAACACTAAAAATCAAATAAAGAGATACTGGAAATGGAATATAGATACAGAAGGGTGGTGAAAACCACCAGGCAAAATGAATTGCACCAATTTGTAAAAACTCAAGCACTTGCTTCTGGGCTATAAACGCATTAAGATGACCGAAATAAACCTCACCCGCATCCACGAAATGAAGGGGAAAAAACACAAGCCACCTCCTAAGACCATAGCACATAAGCCAACTTTGTCATGCATTTTGAACAGCGAACTCATAAGAGACTAGATCCATTTTGCCAAGGCAATCATTTTTAGCTAAGAGAAGCATAGCGAACAAGAGTCCCCAACTATGCCTGGTTGCCGCCACCCCTCGAGCGGCCACCCATCCTTCCACGACCACGCACATAGCCCCTGCCGCCTCCACCTCTGCCCCTCTCGTATCCACTACCTGCTAAGAAGGCAACCTTAAGTAACGATCGTAAAGAAAGGTAAGCTCACAACAAAAATATTTAAACATTGCACAATAAATGTAGTACGGACATGGAGCACAAGCTAGATAGTGGGGGGTCAAGGGCACACTATATTCAAATTCACATGTATACTTTATTACACTCTGGAGCGTCAGGGACTCATAGGTTTGAAATCACCAAAACTAGAATAGAAGAAAAGGTAGAGAAATTAAACACAACCAAAAGATGTGTTGAATCCACCAAAGAAGACTAGTACAATGAAATATCTAGAAGCAAACTTACCACGGTAGCCCCAGCCCCTGCCTCGTCCGCCACCTCGACCCCAGTTTGAATATCCACCATTATCTAACAATTTCAAAAGGAAAAAGGAAAGTGAATAGGTGACAGATATTCGACACATAAACGCAATGAATCACTAAAGGACCTCAACTTTAGGTGCAAGGTAATCAACCGTTGGGAAGGCAGTAGTCATACCTTGATAGTTTCCACCTTGATAATTTCCACCATTTCCACCTTGATACTCTCCACCTTGATAGTTCCTGCCTTGATAGTCCCCACCTTGATAGTTTCTGCCTTGATAGTCTCCACCTTGATAGTTTCTGCCTTGATAATATCCACCTTGGTAGTTTCCATATCCTCCCCTTCCCCAGGTCCTCCCTCTCCCTCTACCTCGACCCCTCCCCCGACCATATGAATCTAAATATTAAAGGAAGAACCAGTCATCAGCTTTCCTTCCTTCCATGATAAAACCTTAAGTCACAACTTTGTCACAGTAAATACCTTCATTAACAGTATTGTAAGGAACACGTGCTTGTCTAGGCTGTTGCGGCTGATAACGATACTGAGGTTTGGGTTGATCCATTTGAACAGGAGCTTGGTACCTAAGCAAACAAATAACATATCAAACAATCATCTCATAATATCATGTCTAACTGCAAATACTTGAAAAAATTTATTAACAGAATGTAGCAATTTGTGACGGTATCAGTAACTATCTTAACAGGTAGATTACTCAGGGGAAAAATAATATAGTGAAGTTATTTCCTCATATTTCTAAATCAGTCCCCAAGGAAGAAGCACAAAACAAGACACCTTAACTAATTGACTAGGTGGTTGATGCTCACTAGTTTAGCTTCTGAAACCCTTTACGTCATTGTGGACGTCGTAACTTACCCAGGAGAGTTTTTGTCAAGCTCCCTCGTAGACAAGGTAATCGATATCATTGAAACATGTCGAGTCATCTCCACGCTGCATGAAATATTACACTGTCGAAATTAGATGGACCATCTACAAAATTATGTACATGATTAGATTTGAGTTTATATACTGGAGCATACGGTACTAGGCCCTCTTCGATGGGTTCCCATACATCAGTTATGCTAACTGAGCTGATGGAAGTATCCTGATGCAACCGAGGAGTTCTCTTCTGCATGAATACAAGTTTAAGAAGGTGGCAATGAGAATGACTTTGCTAATTTTACATCCTACTGCTTCCTTTTATCCTTCTCATAAAACAATAGCATCCCGTAATAACTAATTTGAACTCACACGAACCTTTATAATCTCCGCAATGGCCACTGTCTTACTGATTGCTTGTCCCATTGCTTTCAAGACAATTTCTCTAACACGTTTCTCCTATACATGAAAAGATATTATTTTAATAAAGATCAAGCATATATTACAAGAATTATCGGTTGGCAAAGGGAAAAATTAAGTCATCTGATTTAAGACCCTCAATCCCTAGAAATGAAAGATAATAGAAGAATCTAAGCCAAGACATTCATATGAAACAAGCAAAATGTTTAAAATGATCTAAAACCAGTAACCATTACATGTGTCACACACATAATATTAACTATCGAGGAAAGGTACTGACTACGAAGGGAAAGTTATCAATCAGTAGATACGTTTCCCCATGACCATCTAATACTAAAAAATCCAGTAATAGTTTGGACATGGAAAAATAATGAACCTACAGTATGAAAGCCATATTAGATTAAGAACAACCACGAAAACAACGCTGATTTTCAACCAGCATGTCATGAACCATCAGAAGCAACTTTTAGGAGAATATCCAAATCAACGATGACTGCCAAATGACAACCGCTAGCATCACCGAATTACAATGCAAAGCAAGTTAAACTTTCAGCCAAGCTCAAAAATCACAAAGAATGTGATTGATTAAACTATAATTTAAGAAGACAGCCCTGACATCGAAAGTTATTCTGTAAATGGTCTCCATATTGACCAAAAAGTAGCCATAGTAATCATTCTGCAGAATGTCTTTTTCCAACAACAGATTAGACACATACCATGACACTAATTCCTTCGAAATAGTGCTCAAAGCATCCCAGTACACTCCCAAATCCAGGCATGCCTCCGCTTTCACAGGATAACCCCCCCCCCCCCCCCTTCTTCCTTTTTGCTCTCTCTCTCTCAAAAAAAAAACACAACGAAATGCAATCCAAATTCAAAAAATCCTCCGCAAAAGCAGCCCGAACTGGTATTCTTTTGTAAAGCGAAGCCTAATCGGACCTCCCAAAAAACTTCCGGCTTCAAAGCAGCTCCACCTCAACAATTCTCTTTGAAAACATTGAGTTCCTTGTTTTGCAGCAACTTAAACAAGCTTGAAAAATGCTTCCAAGTCGAAAACTCAGAATTTCAACTTTTCAGTCAAGCGTGCATCTTCCGGAAATAAGCCACTCGGGCATCTCCGTCTCTTCCTATACGTCAGGGAAGATGTCCACTGAAGGAGCCTCCGCAGATCCATCCAACTACATACTTTCACTCTATAACCAACTGCTGCTCATTCAGGGAATCCGATCAAACTGACTGCAAGACAAACGGGTATGCATCCCGCCACACAAGCAAGGTCACGAGTCTGACAACATCCTATTTCTGTAGATGTACGGCGAGGACACCGACTACTCGGCATTTATCCCTAGAAAACTATCCAAACTGCTAATTTCCCTCGAGTTCTAGCTACTAGCAAACCGCTGCTCAGTTAGGAAAAATCGAAAACGAGAAACGCCGCGGCGCAAAGCCGGCGCCCATTCCACCACGCGAGCAAACAGACTCCGCATCGGGCATTTCCAAGGAACAAACGACCAAAAGCAACCGAAAATCACGAAGCGAAACCAAAAGGCCCAGCGAAAGACCGGCGAAGCAGGGTGCAACGCGGCTGAAATCGCTCATACCTAAAAATCCACCGGAGACGCAGAAGCGAGAAACAGCGCGCACGCGATTGCATGGACGGCGGCGCATTTCAAAGGAGAGAGAGAGAGAGAGAAAGCGCGCGAGAGAGAGAGAGGGACCTGGAGGAGAGTGGAGGCATAGCTGATGTAGTTGCGGATGAGGCCTTGGGTGGTGATGCGGATCTCGTTCTCGTTTATCGGCGACTCCGGCTTCGGCTTCTCCACCCTCTGGTACCGGTCCATCGCCGCCGCCGCCGCCGCCGCGTCGCCCTCCTTCGCCCTGGACGAGAAACCCTAAAACCCCAGCGGCAAAGCACAGCAGCGACCGAGAGAGAGAGACAGAGAGAGAGAGAGAGTGGCTGAGAAAAACCACAAAAGGCTAAAACCTCAAAAAAGCGTTGCGCGAGCGAGCGAAGAGAAGAGAGAGAGAGAGAGAGGGGGGGCGCTTCGCTCCTCACAGCCTTACACGTCGCACTTTCATACGAGAACCGATCTCGATGGAATTTTGACCGTTGGATTCGGAAAGGAAGGAAGGAAGAGGCGGGTGCTGCTCCTTCCCTCTCTCCCCCTCTCCCGACGAGCGAAATGATCCGATCCCACGCGAATCTCCGGTCACGTGGGGCACGTGCGGCCCCGGCAAGACCACTTGCTAAGTAAGTTCTCCCTTCCTTCTTTCTTTTTTGTTTCTTTGGGTCTCAACTTGCTGAGGAAGTATTCCGACCCCGAAACAGAAAGAAAAAACACTTGCTAAGGAAGTTACCTCCAAAAAAAAAACAGAAGGTCACGGGTTCCTCCTTACGTGTTTTATTGTTCTTGACTTCTCGGTGAAATTCCTCTTCAAGCAACATGTTTTGGCAAGCTCTCCGAAAGAAATCGTCAGAAATTTTACTTGTTCGTCGCTGAAAGTCGCTCACTTAAAAGCGTATACTCGCTCACCCCCCCTTCCCTTCATTTACTAGATTTTACTGGTATGCAAGTGTCCTCAACAATCGACTTATTCGCGTGTTTGCCCTGAATTATGGAGTCAGTGTATGTCCGAAGATAGCTCCTTTACTTAAAGAATCTGAATGGAAGAGTATGTCGCAAGCTTTGTATTGCAATTGCGACGACCTTGAGCTTTTCACTTTTGAAGTTCGATCCCAACGGTCGCTAACTCCTTAGTACCACTTGATGAACTACGAATTCACATAATTCTATAACTATCGGTGTGGTCCAGACAGATAGATTGTCGTACTTAGGCCCCGTTTGATTCAGCATTTGAAATGAGCATTGGGGCTCTAAAGTATCTTGGTCAAATGCAAATGGCTTTTGGAATTTTGTTGGAGCACTTTGGGGAAATGCAAAGGACTCTAAAGGCCTTTAGCCTAAGGCAGATCCGGAAGTACTTTGGCAAGTTACATTTTCGAAATGCAAGTTTACTCTTCATCACACTATTCATAGCACTGTTTATCTTCCCCAAGCAGCAGGTCCGGCGGCCGGCAACCGCCGCCTAAGGGGTAGCGCGACACCGGCGACCGCCGCCTGGGTGTCGCGCAACCCTGGCGACCGTCGCCTGAGATCGCGCGACCCAGGCGAGGCTAACCGGCGACTAGATCTGGCCATCGACGATCAGCCAGCGACTAGATCTGGCCGGCGGAGATGGCCAGTAGCCGAGCTCCACCTCAAACTTTTTTTTTTTAAATATTAACAAAAGTCCTTTATAAAATATAGTTTTAACCAAACGGTATTTAAGCCAAAGTTGCTTTCAAATGTGATTTTAAAATACACTTGTCAAACACTACTTGCATTTCGAAAAACCCCTTTAGCCCAAAGGCCTTTGCATTTTACCAAAGGTATTCCCCCAAAGTCGAACTAAACGGGCCCTCAGTATAGATTAATAGTTTGCCGACAGCCCGACCACGTATATGACAAAAGTAGATGCAACACGAGGTACGTAAAGAGTTACCCGAGACAATATACCATGTCATATGTCAAAATATAATAATGTGTCTCAAGTCATTTTCTCGCATCAAAACATCTCGACATCATTGGTTTCCAAAGTCTAACGTTTGATTTGCCGTTTGCTTTAAGACAAAAGGATGTAGGAGAAAAAGGTGACAAAGCGAATCCTTCTCATTTTCAAGTTTGGATGAAGTGTTACGGTCATTTCTGCAACATTTTCCTTCTCCTGTGTCTCCTCTTACAATGACGGATCCAGCGGTGGAAATTGAAACGCGCATCATCCTGCTAACTCACATCTTTCACACCAGAGTCTCCGACAGAATTAGTGGATGACATAAAAGTAAAACCTTACGAACGACTAGAATCACAATGAGTCCTTAGGAGTTACTTTCAAATAGTAATATTGAATGGACCTGAAGCAGGAACAGTGAATATTCAGTGGATGGTGATGAAGCAGACAATTCGTTGCAATCACATGAAGCTACTTCCCTACAAGAACCACTACCAAAGTTACAGATGCCAAAAGAATAAAACACAAGTAGACGGTGCGCAGCCAGGCCCTGCTGCCTATATGTCGAAAGAGAGAAAGAAAGAAAGAGAGAGGAACCGACAGGGTGATGCGGGTTGCGTAGCTTCGTCCTAGTTCTTCCTATGTGAGTTAACTAATGTCGTGGATAAACTGATTTCGGATCATGAATGACAAACTTTCTCCACCTGAAGAACATTGATCATGTGCAGCCACTGGCAGGACGGCAGAAGCATCGATATCCACAGAATTTCGATGATAAACATGTACATTATGCGCTCTCCACTAAAAAGTAAAGCTTAGACATAGCAAACTATAATTACGTCATCTAGAAACATAGTAGGAGAAGCATATGCATTAAATAAAACCCAGACACCGTATCCTGGCGATGAAGAGAATGGCTACAGGACTGTCTTTGGTCGAAGCTTTCTTTTGTGAATTGGTCATGATTTAAAGCGCAATACTGAATGGTTACAACAGTCAGGGAAAGAGCGAAGCAAGACTTCTGCTGATTAAACCCCACAAAATGAATGACTAAAATCACAATGAGTCCTGAGGAGGTACTTTCCAATACAAATAGAATGGACCTGAAGCAGGGACAGCGAATTTCGAGTTGATGGTGATGAAGCACACAATTCAGTGCAATCACATGAAACAACCTCACTACAAGAACCATTGACAAAGTCATTCTGTAACAGATTACAGATTTAAAAAAAGAATTTACACAAAAGTAGACGGGGTACCCAGCCAGGGCCTGAAGAAAGAAAGAAAGAGGAACCAACTGGGTGATCCGGGTGCGCAGCTTCGGCCTAGTTCTTCTCTGTGAATTAACACGAGACAGAACATCAAATGCAACTAATGTCACGTGGAAGAACCGATTTCGGTCATGAATGACTATCTATCGTCACCTGAAAAATGTTGGCCACAGCAAAGAGATAAAGCCCAGGGCAGGATGGCAGGCGCATCAATATTCGCAGAATTTGGATGCTAAACATGTATACCGCCGCCAAAAAGCAAAGCTTGGACAGAGCAAGCTGAAATAGAACGTCTAGAAGCATACTTGGAGCAGCATATGACCTGGAAGTGAACCCAGACACTTTATCCTGGCGATGAAGAGAACGACTATAGAACAGTCTCTAGATGAGCTTTCTTTATGAACTGGTCACCATTAAAGCGCAATACTGAATTTTACTACAGTCAGGGAAAGAGAGAAGCGAGACTTTTGATAAAATTCAAAAGAATTCTCGACTTCTCACTGCAGGGAAAGAATCTTCAAAAGATTCTAGCAAAATGTACTCATAATAGTTGCATTAAGTAAGACACCGATCATCAACAAGAGTAAGAACAAGCACATCAAGAAATACATAAGGGAATATAAAACTGACAAAAAGGTGAAGAAGTACGAAAGAAATTTCAATAACCGCTATATTGTGGTAGGCCACCGATATTGACTCTGGATGGGAAAAACTTGAAAAGAAAGAGAGAATATAGGCGACCCTTCATCTCTCCTGTATAGTGTACACAATCTTCGACCACAATCCTGCAGTTTTCAACTAGATTCCTACTAAAACAATCAACAACTCCTATACTATAAGGCTAAAGAAAGATGGAAAAACCAGCAGCTCGACAATTGGACCATCCAAGATGGCCATACGATGCACAATATCCTTCAGAAGTTGAGACTTGAAGTAGTGGTATTACAATGCCTATTTCCCTTACCCTTTAGAGAATAAAGATGGAAGAAAAATCACTCCAGAAATTCGACCGCTCGAAGATGTTCAGATAAACTGATACATAGGAAAACCTCTACATCGAACTTTAAGGTAAGAAACCGCGAACTCATTGCTAACACGGGACTGTTGAAAAACCTTAGAGATCTGCTTTGCATTTCCCCCTGTTGAAACTTCTACTGGACTGTAGAATCCTTCTCCCCGTGACAACCTTTTTAAACCATGCCATTAACAAATCTGCTAATGCAGAGGGAAAAAGAGTAAAGTCTTACCTACAACTCCAGCACACCAAGTAGAACCTCAACAGGTCGTCAAGGTAAATGCACAAAATGACTATCCATTTATGAGAAGTCTCATACAAGCATGCCAGTGTAACATTCATGAAATGACCAAATATCAGTTACGAGACCTCCACGATGACGGCTTACACAGGGAAAAGTTACTGAAGCAAGCGAAGTTTACTTGCAAAGAAAGGCTGCGCAGCCATTATTCCTACTTAATTCTATCAGAAAGATCAAATACATTCTAGTACAGAAGGTAAACATGCACAAAGAATTTCTGGTGTAACAGATTCACACGACGACATCCTTACAATGCGAAATAAAACAATTATAAGCATATCAGCTTACAAAGATATATAATGGCACATATGCTTATTATACACCTGCCATTAGGGAAAAGGCAAAGAGAGCCCAGGCACAACGCACACCCAGGAGACGAGTCAGTCAGGCAGCTTCATCGGCTTCGCCTTGAAGAACAGTATGAATAGAAACGGCAGAACAAAAGCTGATGACCTTGTGGAACTTATTCACAGGTGATGGCAAATCCGGTAGCCTCCTCCAGCTACACCTGCCATAATCACTACCAATCTCACAGACACAAGCAGGGTACTTCTTGTGGTACTCCTCATTAAACACGTAAATCATATCACCCGATCCAACACATTTCAAGCTCGCAAATTTATCTTCCTCCTCGCTATCGACCAGCCCATTGAGCAAATTCGAGGGCATGATCGCAATTTCCCTGAACTCCATGCTCGTCTCGTCGATCTGCCACAAGTTAAACGACGGCCCGCTCGGCCCGACGCACATGCCAGCCAGGACGAGCCGTTCCCGGCACGCGATCAAGAAGGAAAACAGGACCCCGGGCGGCCTCAGCGTCTGCACATCGCTCCAGATCCGATGGCGCAGGTCGAAGCACGACAAGAAGCAGGAATAGATCCCGAAAACATAAAACCTACCCCGGAAGAGCGCCGACGACAGGGACTGCGACGAGTTCCCCGGGCGGAAGTCGGCGGGCAAGGGAGGGCAGAGGTCCCAACGGTCCGACCGGGGATCGTAAATCTCGACCGCCAGCCGGTCCTCGATGTCGACCAGATTACCGATGAACCCGTCGCCCCCGACCACCACGAATCTCAGCCCGGGGCCGGGGCCGTCGCCGTCGCCGCCGCCGAAGACGGCGAGGAGGGGATTGATCCGGGAGAAATGGAGCGGGGAGGTGGCGCGCCAGGAGTCGCGGAAGACGCGGGTGAAGGAGAAGGTCGGGGTGGTAGTGAAGAGGAAGCCGGAGGAGGCGGTGAAGGAGAAGGAAGGGTCGTCGCGGTGGGTGTGGATGGGGAGGCGGAACCAGGCGCCGGAGAGCGGGTCGAAGGCGAAGGACTGGTTGTTGCGGGAGGAGGTGTTGTGGATGCCGTAGAGGAAGAACCAGCACGGGGCGGAGGCAGGGGAATCGGGGCTGGGGCGAGGACGATTGGAGGAGGAGACGATGATGGAGCGCCAGAGCTTGCACACGGAGGAGGCGCGGAGGAGGGAAGGGACGGGGAGGAGGGAGAGGATGAGGTCCACGAGGTCGGTGGAGAGGGAGTTGATGGTGGTCAGCGACGGCGGGGAGTCCGACATCGCCGGAGGGGAGGGGGAGCTCGCGACGGTGGCGCTCGCGCGTGTCGTGTGCGGAGAGACGGAGGAGGGGGCGTTGAACTTGCGCGCGGGGGTTGGTTGGGTTGGGGGGAAGATGGAACGGTAGTTGTACACGTTTGTTGTGGTGGTGGTGGTGAAGGGATGTGGAGAAGTAAAATGGCAGTTAATCCCACTTACGTTTTTCCCTTTCTTCCTTTAAAAAAAAAAAAGGATTACTAATTTAGTCTCAAATTAATACCACAAAAGTTTTCAAATTATCACGTTAATATATTCAAAATTAATTTTTGTATCATGAAAAATCACAAATTAATACGTAATTTTATCGTAATATTTTGGTAGATCAATAAATTGGTCGGTCCAAAGTAAACATGGCACCAACGTGCCGGTTTGGAATTTTTTTTTTTTTTTGGTGGTATTGACCGTTTCGTTTTTCTGAGCGCTGTTTTATTTTAGTCGATAATGAGGTTTGGAGGCACAAGCAAACATGTAATGTAATGAGAGCGTCTAGAAGGGAGGCATCTCCTCTTGCTTTGGGTCCAAATCTGCAGGTGCAGCCTGCATTCTTTGGCATTTGCATCTTTCCCGCCCCCGAAGCAAATCCGACGCCGCGCTTCATCGTGCCTCTAAACTCAACACCGTAATTTGCGAACCAACTCGAACCCGACTCAGTCGCTCTCGAGTTCCGGCGACTCGAGCGTTTAGTCGTGTTAGAAACTCGAGCTCGAAAAGACTTTGACAGATTTGACTCGCAAGCTCGACGGAGCTTTCGAAATCGCACTTGCGACGTAGATCCTATAGCACGACATCGTATCCTCTTCGTCATGGACCGTATAGTGCTTCGAGGATTCAAGAAGTCGACATCGACCGAGTTCAAGCCGAGTTTCGAGCGGATGTTGGGGTGTCTGCTAAAAACAGTAAGTTTCAACATCCAACACTGACAAAAACAAATATTGCATTATGAAATTCTTCTTGAGGAAACATTTTGGTCGCAACCGCAGCATCATTCGTTCAACCACAAAGAAAGAATTAGAAAGATGGTTGAACGACTTTTGCCTCACGTGACGAAGAAGAATCGAGAACGTAAGTTATGAAAAATCATGCTGAAATTGACATTTTTACGGGGTTAGTCTGAAAAAAGAAAGAGAAGAACTTTTGTCCACGATGGGAAAAAATAAAGAAGAAAAAACTTCAATCCCGATTTGGGATTAGCGCACGTGTTGGACTCTCATTGGTGTTGATTACGACCCGCTAATCTAAAAGTCGATCGATAGTCCGTCGTGCCATTTTCTTCGGCGAAAAGCTCGATTCACATTATTTCGGGAAAAGTGCAAAAAAAGTCATAAACCTTTTGCATTAGTGTCAATTTAGTCTTAAACCTTTTTTTGATGCCAATTCAGTCCTAAACCTTTGCATTGATGCCAATTTAGTCCTAAACCTTTTTTTGTGCCAATTAAGTCCTAAACCTTTTAAATTGGTGCAATTCGATCCTAAACTTTTTGTTTTTGTGCCAATTTAGTCCTTAGGCCAATTTTGAACCGAATTTGCTAGCGTGGACACTGCTGGCATTGTCGGTCCGATGACGTGGACAACTTTAATAATATTTTAATATTTTTTGAAAATTTTTTTTTGCCTTTTTTTTTCTTTTTTTTTCCACTTTTTTTTTGTCTCTCTCCCTCCTTCCTCGGGCCGGTCGCCGGACCGGCGACGCCGAGGTCGGCAAGCTCGACCTCGCCAGGCCCCGGCGAGGGCGGCCTCGCCGCGCCTCCGGCGAGGTCGTGCGAGGCTCGAGCCCTCGCCGGAGGCCGCGGCGAGGTCGAGCCTCGCCGATCAAGGCGAGGTCGAGCCTCGCCCGATCAAGGCGAGGCTCGAGCCCTCGCCGGAGGCCGCGGCGAGGGCGAGCCTCGCCATGGTCGGGCGAGGCCCAGGCCTCACCGGATCGCGAGGTCGGGCCTCGCCCGGCGACCTCGCCGGATCTGGCGAGGTCGAGCCTCGCCCGACCAAGGCGAGGCTCGCCCTCGCCCGCGGCCTCCGCAAGGTCGCGGGCGAGGCCCGACCTCGCCCGGATTCGGCGAGGTTGGGCCTCGCCCGACCATGGCGAGGCTCGCCTCGCCGCGGCCTCCGGGTGAGGGCTCGAGCCTCGCCCGACCAAGGCGAGGCTCGCCCTCGCCGCGGCCTCCGGGGGTCGCCGGGCGAGGCTCGACCTCGCCGGATCCGGCGAGGTCGGGCCTCGCCCGACCATGGTGAGGCTCGCCCTCGCCGCGGCCTCCGGCGAGGGCTTGAGCCTCGCCCGGCGACCTCGCCGGAGGCCGCGGCGAGGCCGCCCTCGCCGGTGGCCGGCGAGGTCGAGCTCGCCGCCTCGGCCGATCGCCGAAGGAGGGAGAGAGACCAAAAAAAAAAAGTGGAAAAAAAAAAAAAAAAAGGAAAAAAAATTAAAATTCAAAAAATTAAAATATTATTAAAGTTATCCACGTCGGCGCCGTGACCACGTTGGCAAATTCGATCAAAATTGGCGGAAGGACTAAATTGGCACAAAAACAAAAGGTTTAGGACTGAATTGGCACCAATTTAAAAGGTTTAGAACTTAATTGGCACCAAAAAAAGGTTTAGGACTAAATTAGCACCAATGCAAAAGGTTTAGGACTGAATTGGCACCAAAAAAAGGTTTAGGACTAAATTGGCACTAATGCAAAAGGTTTAGGACTTTTTTGGCACTTTTCCCCATTATTTCTAATAACGATTTCGTATTATAATTGTAGTGCAATTAGAATCACTCTTTTTATTTAGGAGATTGATTTGCAATGAGGTCTCTCATGCATTTGTCAGGCATGAGCTTGGAGCCAGCGCATTCTTCGGTTCACTTGGAACAAACGCAATATATTTCTGTAGAAAAAGACCAAAGAAAGACTCGACTCAGAATGCTCACGATAGAAACTGGGTTTTTGCTTATTCTCTTGATGAAAAAGGGAAAACTTAATCGTTTCTAGCAGACACAATAGACCTGCGATCGTTTCATGGGTTTCCTTCTATAAACCTGTGATTGCAGCATTGCGAACGGCATTAATAGAGGTGATGATTAGGCGGGCTCGAGCGGACCTGACTCGTTTCTCGGACCGACCAGTCGTAAATTAGATATATATATAGCAGGTTTCGAGCCCCATAGGCTTTAACTTTGTCACTGAATCATCTTTCCCTACACCAGCTCAAATTAGCCTTCCAGCTTATTCGACCGGGGCGCTGTATGCTGTAAAAGTCCAAGAAGTGATTTTGCAGGAACCAATTCAATGCAGAACAGACGACTCCATACACCAAGAACACCCAAATCAACACATAGGCTCCTAAAACAGAGACTAGAAGCGGTTACATGAAACATTTAACAGCCTGCAATCTGTCTCATCGACATGATTCTTCATCATCTCGAATTTTGATGATCTTCAGGTAACCTAATTCTAGCTAACATTAGATGGTGCAACCGAAAGGGAATCTTAGGTGCAAAACTAGACAAGAAGTTTTTCCTAGACTCCACCAAACTCTGAGTAGAACCTTTTTCGACAAATCTAGGAGTGGCCAAATCCACAGGAACCGAACAGCTATGAAAGTAGACTCGGTAGATGCGTTAAGTGTCCGAGAACAATACATTTCATGCCGCCATATCAAAGTTGATAGCGACAGCCTGGAGGATGACATTGTACAGTCACTAGCAAATCAGATGTACATTTATCGCCAAAATGTGGCGCAGATCTAGGTTCGCGCCATTTATTGGGGTCTTATTGCGTTTGAAATTGAAAAGACTGACACCTCACCAATCTCAAACTCATAGATAATAAACCCACTCGCATCTACTGAGCATCCCTAGACAGGAGGTTGTTTATCTCGACAGTTCGAGCATTGGATAGTTCGTCGACACAGTCCCCTCTCTCGAAAACTGCCGCTGCACCCATACCTGAACCTGCATTGACCATAATCAAGAAAGTACTTAGTTGATGGAAAAGAATGAATGCGCCATGTCATTTTTCCTTTGTAGTTCACTAAGAGGGAGTCGGCAATATGTTATGGCATGTATCAGAAATTTCCCTAACCACACCGCAGAAGTCTATTCCCAGACAATGAATAGCAATTTATGACAAAAGGGTTTCCGAAATGAGATGCTCACATGATAATCCTGATTAATCTGACCAATCTGATTAAACCCCGATGCCAGATTGAGGTTAAAATATGTAAGAAACAATTCCAGGGTACCAGTACTTTAGCCCTAACAGCAGGATATAACCATGTAAGTACCCTGATGACCAAGCAGTGCTTCTGTCAAAATTCATCTGTTAGGTTAACCATTGAGGAATCAGATCAGGAATAAGGTAAACATGCATCACGTGACGGTCTCAATCCCGAAATACTGCCAGATGATCTAAACATTGATGTTCTTATAGAACGGATGGTGAACTATTTTCCCTCTTGTCCAGAAGAGATCGTCAAGATTAAAGTATGAATAGACGCACATGTTGTTCCGCAAGGTCCACTGTATTTGTTCATTTATTTTTTTGACAGAGGCTATTTGAAAACTAAAGAAGAAGTTATTAAATCCTTGGCAAAGAGAGGAGGCACAAAGACGAATACAAACCTATGCACATTGATATTACTCCAAAGCGGCAGTCTCTACCCCGACGCTTCATCTCATTCAAAAGAGTCGCTACACATCGTGCACCTGAGGCAGAAGAATGTCCATATCTTAGGCAAATAGACATTATAGAATAAATGCTTCACGTGACATCACCTCGATATTCTAACCTGCATGAATCATTCGTATGAAACTTCGGAGCAGATATGTGCATGTAAAATCTCATCTCATCTTATACTAGATTCAACTAACAGTCATTGATTCCAAAATAGAAGACACGTTTATGAGAAGAAAATAGGGGAAATCTTTTCACTGGATTCCAGAAGTCATTGTGGTGCTTTCTCGTCATTGCGAGTTACCTGTAGCGCCCAAAGGATGCCCAAAAGCTATGGCACCCCCATTAACATTGACTTTTTCTGGATCAAGCTCCAATTTTTTACAACAATACACGTACTGAGATGCAAATGCCTGAAAAATAACAGCCATACAGCAAAAAACTATTACAGACCTGAATTTGCATTTCCACTGCAGAATTGAAGATGATATTAGACAGTCTCTACCTCATTTATTTCAAGAAGGTCAATATCATCGAGCGCGAGCCCGGCAGACTTTACTGCAGCAGGAATGGCAACAGCAGGACCAATTCCCATGACAGCAGGATCCACACCAACAGCCGCAAAACTCCTAAAAGTAAGTGCACAGACAGTCAGATTCTAGTCAGAGAAAGAGGTAGCATACAAGATAAGAAACAAGGTCTATCTAACGATATTAAGTGGCCTTCTCACTATAGCACTCCTCATATTAACAAGAGCAGTTGCCCACCAAAACTTGAACTCCAGGTTACATGTAAAAATGCACTTTCTAACACTGAATTTGCAAATACGGTGATTTCCCACCTGAAAACACCAAGAATGGGCAACCCCTTCTGCACAGCCAAAATTCTCTTCATTAGCAGTACAGCCGCAGCTCCATCACTCACTTGACTAGCATTCCCTGACAGCATTAAAAAAGCATAAGCTCATCAAGGAGCAACAAAAATATAATCAATGCAACATCACGAATTATGAAAGCAGGACTAGTTGTTAGATACCAGCTGTTGTTGCCCCATCCTTTTTGAAGGCGGGCTTCAGCTTTGCTAAGTCATTCATATTCGTGTTTGGTCGGATACCGTCGTCAATGGAAATCGTGACTGGCTTCTCCTCTCCAGTTTTTGGATCAACAATCTTTGTATAGAAGTCAACAGTTAGGTCATTGTAGAAACAGCCCAAGCCAAATTGCAACCGTGACTGTATATATACCTTTGTAGATACAGGAATGATCTCGTCTTTGAATTTCCCTGATTGCGTGGCAGCATAAGCTCGCCTATGAGATTCAACCTTTTCCAGAAAATTAAGAAGATTTCAATAAGATTATACCAGACTGTTAAATCAGGAAACAATAGAACATTTTGAAATATTTACGACACTTACAGCAGCCTGGTCTTGCTCTTGTCTGGTCACGCCGAAACGCTGGGCCACATTTTCAGAAGTGATCCCCATTGGAAGAAGACAATCCCGCGCTTGTGCAAAGCTGTGTACCTGTTTTTTAGTGATATTCAGCCAAACAATTCATTTTTCTGAGTAACAAATGTACTTTTTTTTGCTTTCCCTCTCAAATTTCCTAAATTTAAAAGTTGGGCATACTCTTGGGTTGACTTTAGGAACTCCGCGAACTTGGTCTACAGTCATCGACTCCAATCCAGCCCCAATTCCTGAATAGAGAAGGTGATTATTGAAGGCCAAAAAGAATGCTCAAGGAAGGCGTTCATTTCCAGTGTCACACTAACCAATGTCATAAAAACCAGCTTTAATGGAAGCAGCAACATCAGCAACCGCCTGCAGGCCAGAGGAGCATTGCCTGTTGACAGTTCGGAGTGGCACAGTATCTGGTACAAGCAATGAAGCAGATTACGCATAAGCATTGGCCAATTTAAAAGGAGTTTTGATTCACATAGTTAAAACAACTAAATCATATAGTCTATCTTCACATCTTCATCGAGCTTGTAAAGTTAAATGTACAGATGTTAAACCATTTCATGGTAGCAAGCAAAAAAATCAACCAATTCTGATGACAGATTCATACTCAATGTATGGCTTAAAGTAAACTTTGATCTATCCACTGTATGGTTATAGAAAAACAGCAACTGATCAATGTGAACTTAAAACATACCGGGGAAACCGGCATAGAATGCTGCCATCCTGCACTCAATTCCCCTTTGCGATCCAGGAGCTAAGACCGTGCCAACGACTATATCCCCGACCTCTGCAGGATTCAAGTTGGTCTTTTCCACTAAAGCCTGCGAATATTGACATAAATGCAAGCGGCTAATACTCATACATGCATCAAAGAGATTCGCCATCTTAAGCAAAAATCGTCTTTGACTTTGTCACTGTGAGTCCTTACCCTCAGAACAGGGGCGAGCAGATCCTCGGGAAGGGTGTCCTTGAAACCCCCGCGCTTGGACTTGCAAATGGCCGTGCGATACGCGCTGTAATCAAAAATATTTTTGAAGCAATAGTAAGAAACTCCAGTTTGCAAAAGAATAGCGACTTTTTCTCGCTTCACAAATTAATCCGACTTACGCCACAATCACCACATCATCGCCAAAACTTGCTGTCCTATGGTAGGCTGCGAGGTCCCCAGCAGCACATGCCGAGGCCTGATAGACAAATTCACAAACAATTAGTTTGCAGCAGAGTCACAAAAAATAGCCATGTCGGCGAAGATTTTTGAGGTGCTTAGCAGATGATTCGACGCTATGCTATCTGTGAAGCAAGGGAAGTGGTGCATAAAATTTCCAATGAAACAATTTTCTTTCTTGGCAGTAATATACTTGAGCTGATGATTCGACCTTCCGTCCAAGTAGGGCCCAAATTTCTCTCAAGTTTTCATCTTTAATTCACCTTCACACTTGGATAGCCAAATCAGTCGAAAGCACATTGGCTTTCAATGACTAAACAGCGACGACATGAACAGTTGAAGGACAACTCATCAAAACAATCTCATCCCAATCATGCATTCATATTAAACATATCAGCACTCTCGCAAAGAAGCCATTGGCTCATCCTTAACCGCCCCACCCCCCCAAAAGAAAAGGACAGCTGACAATGAAGTAAACAAAAGAAAGCTACGTTAAATCAACATCCTGAAAAACAACTAAAGGCGATTACAATGAACTATAATGGGTGAAAGAAAAAAGAGAAGCAAAAATCGGCAACAGCCCCTGACACCAGCAAGAAAAAAGAAACAGAGGAACAAGAACAACATTTGGGTCCGATCTTGTTTAATGCTTCAATCATCTTCACTGTTTCCTCTACTCAAAAGACGCATGCTCTTCTTTTCACCCTGAATTCCAAACTGGAAGATCATTCAAAACCGAAAAAGGCCGAAAGCTTTAGACTTACGGAAACACCGGCCGATCGTGGGGCGTGAGAAGGAGACCCAGATGAAGAAGAGGGCAGTAAATGTTGAAGCAGGACTCTCTGTCTATCGACCGCTCTCTCCATCTCTCTGTAGGATCTTCTGTGAGATGGGCGGATTGCCGTGGCTGTGATTTATAGTTGGAAGAGAAGTAGATTAGGCAAAAGTCTCTCGTGTACTTTCGCAGTAGGAGGAAGAGGAGAGACCGAGCGTGGGACCAACGAAAGGTGAGTGGGTGCTGTCCCCTTTATTTTCTCCGTATCCTGCTCACGTTTTCCACAGGTTCAAGTCAACGTCAGAGTGACGGCGCTCTTTCGCACGAAGTGGCAATCTCTATCTCTCCTACTTTTTTGCTTTTTATGGCCATCGGTTGTTGCAACTGCTCTTTGCTTAGTGTATTTTTGCGTGACATTTTTTTAATATATTATCATCTCGATAATATTTTTTGGTGATTGATTAAATCCTGAAAATGAACTGAAATATATTTTTTATCGTTTTGATATATGTTTTTTAAATAGACATGGATTATTTGGACACTGAGGCTGCGCATGACAACTTGCCAAATAGTATTTGATTCTGTTCTTTTGTTCCCAGAATCAGTTTGGGAACAGAAATGCGTTTGTTTAATTTTTTGATTCTGGGCACAATTTTGTCAAAAATTGTTCCCAAAATCAGTTTTCAAGAATAAAAAAAAACGTAGCTTCTTGATTCTGGGAACAATTTTGAGAATCAATTTTTTTTTCTTCTTCCTTTTCTTGGTTTTTAATGTAGCTTCTAATGTCCGGTCCGAGGACAGCCCTCGCCAGATCTGACGAGAATAAAATATTATTAATAAAAAATATTATTAAAATAAAAAATATTTTACCGGTCATGGCCGGCGACCAGGCCATGGCCAAAAAAAAGAAAAATATATATTTTTAATAAAAATATTTTAATAAAAAAATATTTTACCTGCCATGGCCGGTGACGAGGCCATGGCAAAAAAAGAAAAAATATATATTTTTAATAAAAAATATTATTAATAATAAAAAAAATTACCGGCCATGGCCAACGACCAGGCCATGGCCAAAAAAAATAAAAATGTATATTTTTAATAAAATTTTTTAATAAAAATATTATTAATAAAAAAAATATTTTACAGGCCATAGCCGGCGATCAGGCCATAGAAAAAAAAAAGAAAAATATAAATTTTTAATAAAAATATTTTACCAGCCATAGCCGGCGACTAGGCCATGGCCAAAAAAAATAAAAATATATATTTTTAATAAAAAAATTTTAATAAAAAAAATATTTTACCGGCCATGGCCAAAAAAAATAAAAATATATATTTTTAATAAAAATATTTTAATAAAAAAAATTATTAATAAAAAAAATATTTTACCGGTTATGGCCGGCGACCAGGCAATGGTCAAAAAAAAGAAAAAATACTTTTAATAAAAATATTATTAATAAAAAAATATTTTACCGGTCATGGCCGGCGAGCAGGCCATGGCCAAGAAGGAGGAAAAGAAAAAAAGAAAAGAAACAAAAGAAAGAAATATTAAAATATTTAAAAATATTATTAATGAAAAGAAATTTTGTAGCGTTACCAAACGCATTTCTGTTCTTTTTCTATTCCAGCGATGAAATTTTGGGCCGTTAACAAACGCCTTAAAATGCTCAGAATCAATTCCGAGCACAAAATCAAAAAGAATCATTTCTGAGCAAAATCTGTTCTCGGGCACAGAATCGTTGTCATGCGCAGCCTAATAGTGTTACTGGACTGAGATTATGTTTGGATAGCGTATATAATATGCATTGTTGGTTCATCTTCTAAAGAAAACCATATGCAAGCACTGGAATCCTGAATACAATCGTAATAGACCCCGACCCGAGCGCTGGGACCGAGGCAGGGGCACCTATGTATGGGCCAGGCCTCAATGGACCCGAGCGCGAGCACCAAGGTCCCAGGCCGGCCTCGATGGATCCGGGTACAACCTTTTGTGGACTTGGGCTCAGGTGTTGCGAATCCAAGCTCGGGGAGTGGGATCTTGTGCTCGACCTTTATGGACCCGGGCTAAGGCGTGGGGCATCAGGCACAAGCACCAAGGCTTCGGGCGCGGGCATAAGTCCCGTGCTCGGCCTATGTGAACACACATTGGCAGCAAATGTGATCGCCCGGTGGGGTACACAAGCAGGAATCGCGTGCATCGCGTTCCCATCGAACTACCTTACTTGAATTCCCACGGGGAAAGTGCTTCGCGATTGCGGTGTGTTTTCGTAAAACCCAAGACAAATGAAACAAATAGAGAACAAGACTTCTTGACTTTGACTAGAGGGGTGGACCCACGGGGGGAATCTTGAAGTTGTCCTAAAAGAACACAATTCACGTTCGTATGCATCTCTTCCCCAACGTGGCTGCTTTTGCGGGGGGCCCGAGGCAGCCACTCACAAGTAATTATGAAGGACACCACTGCACTATATCGTGTGATTTTCCTTTTCAACGATAGTCTTGCGCTTAATTATAACGATACGCCGCGACGTCGTAGGATCATTCTACGCCCTCGTGTCCCACTCCCGGGAAGAAGTCATGGCAATTGTCTTCTTACACGTTTCAAATTTGAATTTGAAGTCATAGGGTCGAACGAAAACATTTCTCTTCTCCTATCCTATTTTTGGCTATCTCTTTTCTGGATAAGTTTCTAAGCAAAAAGTAGCGTTTGATAACGACACAAAATTTTTATTCCCAGAATAGAAATTCGTTTGATAACGACACAAAATTTCTATTTCCGCCAGCGAGCAACGGGAGCGGGCAAGGGAATGGCGATGGGTGGCAGCAGATGGCCGATGAGCAGCGACAGGAGGACGACGATGGATGGCCAGCAGCAAGCAGCCGACGGTGGACGGCTAGCGAGCGGTGGTGGCCGACAATGGGCGGCGGCAAACGATTGATGAGCGGCGGCGGCTGGTGGTGGTGACGGGCGACAATGGCTGACCGGTGAGCGAGCGAGCAGCAACAGTGGGCGGTGGTGATGGGCAGCGGTGGATGGAAGGCGAGCGGTGGCAAATGGCGACGGACGGCAAAGGTGAGCAATAAAAGAAAGTTGCTATTTCTATTTCTGTTTCAGAAATAGAAAAATGTAAAATTTTAACTTCTCATTTTTATTCCAAATTTATTTATGGGCCAAAATTTGTTCTAGAAATTAAAAAATGAAATTATTTTACCAAACGGATTTCTGTTCCATGCCTGTTCTCATGAACAAAAAAATAGAGAAATAGAAAAACATAATGATTATCATTCGCGTCCTTAGAGTCCACTTGACCCAACTTCTACTTTTTTCTTAAAAGAAAATGACAAGAGAGCATTGGAATCTTTCGACGCGGTCAACATATTAACTTAATTATTAAAAAGTCATGGAAAATATGTATTATTTTCCCAGCCAATAGTTGTACATTTTAATAATCTTGGAATGTCGTGCCTTAAGTAAAAACTTACTTCGCGAAAGCAGCAAGATTTGAGAAACATAAAATAAAAGTGAGTTCTAAACAAGTAAACAGACTTTCTAACAAAATGTTTTGACCTTTTAATAGAAGGGTTAATACCACGAAAAATCTTAAATTGGTACGTTCGTGCCACATTTACCCCAAACTGGTGTACCCGTGCCATATTTACCTCAAACTAATGATTACGTTACAAAAAATCCCAAACTAGTACATCCGTGACACATTTACCCTAAATCAATATATCCGTGCCACATTTTTACCAGTTTGGGATAAATATGGAATCAGTATATCAGTTTGGGTTAAATATGGTACTTGTGTATCAATTTTGGATTTTTGTGATACGGAAATTAGTTTGAGATAAATATCGCACGGACAAACATATCAATTTAAAGTTTTTGGTGGTATTAGCGTTTAATAGAAAACGACAAATTCCCGAATAACCAAACCAAAAGGAAAACGCCATGGCCGCAAAGGAGGGAAAATGACCTGTCCAATCCAAATCGCACCTATAATGCTGCATGCGGTGGAGAGACATGATTAGCTCGGCGACCCAACGTTGCACGAAATACTTTCTCAGAATTGCGGGCTTGTGCCCGAACCACGCGATGAACAATATGTAGGCCCAAGGACCAGGCCCAACAGCTCCAAAACGACGGGAAGCCTCTAGGCATTGCCTGCTTGTCTTCGTTTGTGGAGCTCAGCTATTGGACTTCGTTCTTTATGCTGGTTTAGTTCTTCATCTTCGGCCCAATCGCAAAGTCTTGGGCTCAGAAACTGTAGTTGACAGTGGTCTTATTGGGTGATCTCCGGCCCAGTCTGAGCCCTCCCTTTGAGCAGATTTATTTGGCAGGCCCAGTTTCAGAACAACTTCGCTAGATCTGTTCTTGATGGAGACAAGTTTTTACCGCTTCATTTGGTAAAACTTTCAATGTAAGTAGTTAGTATCCCCACGATCATTCTGTTTTATTTTCCTCTTTTCTTGTATAAAACGGGGCCCAAGCCAAAAGAAGAAAATTACGGATGGGTTTGTTTCAGGGAAAGTGTTTTCCGGGAATCCGTTTTCCGAACTTTCACCCGTTTGGTTCGTTGAAAATGATTAATCACCCAAAAACACTTTCCGGTCAAGAAAAATATTTACGTATAAATTTAGGAAAGTAAATTCCCTAATCTAATAAGGTGAAAACACTTTTCGGAATTGCTTCCCTTTACTTTTTTAATATTTTATTCTTTTCTTTCTTTTTTTCTTTTTCTTTTTTATTTTAAAAATAAAAATATTTAAAAATTCGATTTTTTTTTTGCATGAGATAAAATCATGGGATTGAAATCATTTTTCAAATGAGATCCAAATATCAGAAAATATTTTCGATCACATATCACTAAACAAAGTAAAACTAACTATTTTTCTAGAAAATTATTTTCCGGAAATTTTTTTCAAAAATATTACATTTTCCGTGAAACAAACGCACCCTACATGCGAATTTTCCACGGCAAAAGAGACACCGGTCATGTCTCCTAGAATCGATGCAGTTTGGTTACTAGGTGGTTACTAGGTGGATGCACACTTACGAATCCAACTTTGACCCTGGTAAGACGAGAGTCGAAACCCAAAAAGTAAGCCCAAACACGACACTATTTGCACCGTATGGTTCT